GGATTTCGGCATTCTTTATATCTTCAGAAACCTTGTTTCAACTACTACAACATTATCTAAAGATATCAAGTTTATTTTACACTTAAATTTTGACTCTTATTTTTATTCTTAATTAATCAAACTACATAATTAAGCAATTAAGCACAAAACACATAATACTCAAATAATACACTTCTATTATTTCAAAACGGGTTACAAAGGTTAACCTAGACCATTACATTGCTAAAAATGGCAAGCCCAAAAACACAAACGACAACCGTCCCATGAGGCATGGGGTGGTAGGTGCGAAAGCTCTCTCATTGCCCACAAACATGCACAGTGTCTCCAGTGTCCACGAACCAATCTTGAGCACAGATTGCTCGAGTAAGAGAGGAGATCATGAAAATCTCTCCAAGGTTCACACGAGCCACAATGTCAGTTACCTTCTCGACTGCATGTGCAACCGGTACTGATTTGCGATCTTTGCATTCTCTCGCATAGTGCCCAATCTCTCCGCAGACGTGGCAAGGACCGACCCTTTTTGGATTTGAGTTACGATTCTGATGACCCGGTTTCTTGAAGCTTTGTTTCTTGGGTCCAAAGTTCTTCTTGTTCTGTCCCCCAGATTTTCCTTTGTGGCTAGAACTCCCAGCTGACACATGATGCACACTTTGTCCAACTTTACCTTGCTTGTACCTGATGCGAGTTTCCTCCTCAATGCGGAGGTGTTTCATCAGATCATCCAAGGAGTAGTCCTCAGATTTGTGCATCAATCTCTTAGAGAAATCTTTCCACGAGGGTGGTAGTTTTGCGATGATCGCACCAACCTGAAAGAGTTCTGGAAGAGAGATGGAGAGTGCGTTCAACTTGTTGACCATGACTTGGAGTTCATGCACTTGCTCCATAATTGGTTTGCCATTAACCATTTGAAACTCAAGGTACTTGGACACAAGGTACTTGTTAGTACCTTCTTCATGTGCCTTATACTTAAGTTCCAACGCACTCCATAGCTCTTTTGGATCTTTGACCGGCGAGTAAAGATCATAGAGCCGATCAGATAGGGAATTCTTGATGTGACCCACACATAATTCCTCGGATTCTTTACACAAAATCCTTTGCTTTTCCAATTCTGTAATGACCTCTGGGTCCACAGATTCCCCCTCCTTGGGAATTAGATCATCAAGAATTGGTGCCAGTTTTGGGTCCAACACAAAGTAGAGCTTCAAGACATGAAGCATGAACTTGACCTTTTTGGTCCAACGAGTGTAGTTCTGACCATCGAATTGGTCAAGTTTGGCAAACTCTTGGTTCATGAAGTGGAGGCTAGCAGTAGAGTCCATTAGTCTGTTGATTGATCACAAATAATAATAAAAACCTTTAAGATTGCTGTAAAACAAACTAATAGACGCGCAAGGAAACCGACAAATAATATTGAGAATTATATGTCGATTAGTTGCGAATAATAGATCCAATTATTATTATTATATTTACCAAGTTTCGTCCAGAAACCAGATCTATCCTTCTCGATTAGATCTGATTATAAGAAAGGTAGAAGAAGACTGTCCTGTTATTGGACGAATTAATCACAAGACAGAAAAAGTAAAAACGACCTGTTGATTGCTGATCTTGATCTTGAAGCAACTGCACGGATCAGACTCCTATCCTTAAAGGTTTTTACTTCGCTTTTACTGGCTGTAAGCAACAGAGTAAAACCCTAGGATTTAATGCAGCTTGATCGATATTCCAACAACACTGGAAATCGACAAACACAAATCGACTAATTGGAAACCAGGAAAAAACGCAGAGAGAGGGAGAGAGCTTTCATATTTTCAAGAGTGTTCATGCGGCTCCCAGGGAGCTGTATTTATAGGTATTGTAACCCTAGAAGGCATCAAACAGGCCCCCATAGGCCGGCCCCAGAAACCCTAGGGCGACAGCTTGCTCTCCAAGCAAGCCATTTCCTGATCCTTCTAGAATACCCTGACTCCCAACGACCGACGCATCGTGCGAAGTGCAAAGTGCGCCTAAATCGCGCCATTTCACGCACTCGCGGCGTCGGCTAGTGCTAGGCTAGGCGCGTGCGTGGGCTTGGCCCATTCCTTTGATCCACTAAAGCCTTTGAAGGCTTAACAAGGGAATAGGCTTATAAACCCACAAAAGTTTCTTCCCCCTCCCAATGTGGGATACAAAGGAAATTACCAACATGCAATTCCTTTATATATAAAGTTCCAACAAGAACTGTGCGTATAGTAGCTGACTTCACCACAGGATTGAATGTTTCTAAACAGTCAACACCTACTGCTTGTGAATTACCGTTGACCACCAGTCGTGCTTTATATCGGTCAAGTGTTCCATCAGCTTTAAGTTTGTGACGAAACAACCACATACATCGAATAACAAGGCTGTTGGTTGGTCAGGGAACAAGTTCCCATGTTTTGTTTACCTGTAAAGCTCGAAATTCATCTTCCATGGCTCGTAGCCAATTAGGGTCAGACATGGCGACAGAGATGGATGTAGCAATTGGAGATATATGTGGAGTAGAAGAGGTATGGAGGTTTAGACGGGTAACAGGTTTGGTTACTCCTGCCCGTACACGAGTGGTCATGGTATGAATAAGAAGGGAGGGTTGAGGGGGAGTTTGAGGTGGAGTGGATTGAGGATGGGTTGCTGTAGGTAAAGTGTGTGGGAGGGAGGTATGGGTGTTGATAAAGGGTTTGTGGTGGTGGATGGTGCTTTTAACCGGCGAGAAAGGTCAAGATAGGAGGGTGAGGAGATGAGGAGGTGGAGCGAGGCGGTGTTGAAGATTGGGTAGGGGTGGTGAAATGTGGTGGTGGTGAAGGAGGTGTAGGGTTGATGGATATGGAGTAGGGAAAATCATGAAGAGGGGAGGGGGGGTCATCAAGAAAGTCAAAAGATGTAGAGGGGGGAGGGGTATTGGCAAAGGGAAAAGAGGTTTCATCAAATGTAACATGTCGAGACAAATAGACTTTGCCAGTTGATGGATCAAAGCATCGATATCCCCGAAAGTTTTCCGGATAACCAAGGAAAACACATTTAACGGATCTTGGTTGGAGTTTATGAGATTGAGTGGATGAGATATTAGGATAACAAGCGCAACCGAAGGTGCGGAGATGATCATATGATGGTTGACGACCATAGAGAGAGAAGGCAGGTATGGAAAAATTTAGGCGTTTAGTAGGAAGGATATTATGAAGGTAGGTGGCCGTGTGAAGAGCTTCAACCCAAAATGAGTGTGAAAGAGAGGCATGAGTGAGAAGGGTATGAATAATGTCATTAATGTGATGAATAATCCGTTTGGCTCGTCCGTTTTGTTGGGAAGTTTGAGGGCAAGAGAAACGGAAGATGAGACCGTGAGTGTGGGCAAATGATTTAAAGTCATTATTATCGAATTCTCCCCCGAGATCGCATTGGAATGACTTAATTGTTCGGTTAAATTGCGTATGGATAAGCTTGTGAAATTTTGTAAAAGTGAGAAATGTGTCAGATTTATATTTGAGGGGGTATACCCATACATAATGAATGAAATTATCAATAAGGACCATATAGTATTTGTAACCAGATTTGATCAAGACTGGGGGTGTCCAAAGATCACAATGTATAATGTCAAATGGTGCATAAGTTACAGATTGTGAATCATAAAAAGGTAAGCGGGTATGTTTAGATAATTGGCAAGCATGGCATAAAGAAGAAGTTGTAGGTTTATTACAAGAAATTGAAAATTTTGAACGAAGGAGAAGTGGCAAGCAGATCAGTAGAACTGAAAGGTGTGGTGAAGGGGTAAAGATCTCCCATGCTATCATGACGAGAAAGAAGAGCTCCAATCTTGAGTTCCTTTATAGAAAAACCAGTTTGGTCAAATTCAACAGAAGCTTGATTATCGATAGTAAACTTACGAACAGATAAAAGATTTTTAATAACGGATGGAGTAAACAAGATATTTTTTAGAGTATATGAATGAGAGAGGGTAGTGTAAGAAGCATGACCAGACCCATGAATTGGCAGACTAGAGCCATTTCCAACAAAATTCGATGTTAGAGGCGAAGTAGTTATGGAACTTGAGATCTTACCCTGATCAGATGTAAGATGTGTCGAGGCACCGGAGTCCATATACCACGCTGGATCATTGAAATTAAGATGAACTTGCTGCATTGTTTGTGCTAAATCTGACAGACTTTAGTCAGAATAACCAAAAAATTGAGGAGTGGGAGTAGGTGTCAGACCTGATGGCTGCATCGGAGGTCTAAGTGGCCCCTGTTGTGTTGTGGGTCCAAAATATTGACCGGGCTTGTAGGTATCATTAGCCTAGTGATTTGTGGATTGATTCGGTCCATGAGAAGGGTATGGTGATGGAGGTGGATACCATGATTGTGATCCATTCCATCCTTGCTACTGCCATTGATTTCCTTGGTTCCAGTTTTGGTGGCCATGACCACCACGTCCCCTGAAGCTTTTGCCACGCCCTCCACCAGTTGTTGTAGGGTTGGCCTTGATTGCGTTGACCAACTGCTTCGTTTTGTGGTGTCCTGTCGACAGAAGTAGGAGCAGCGAGAACCGTGTGGGTTTGATTTTGTCTAGCTTTTTGTCTGTGTTTTTCAAGTTGTAACATGCTGCGAGCTGTTTCAAAGGACGGAGAGCTTTGATTGATGTAGGCCCCGACAACATCAAACTCCGGTGGTAACCCACAAACCATTTGTAAGACCAGTCTAGACTCAATGACTGGGTTCTCAACATCTCCTTGATTGGGTTCTCAACATCTCCAAGCTGATCAGCAAGATCTTTAAGTTTTTGACAATAAGATTCCATAAATGAACATGCTCCCAAGGTAAGACTTGTGAATTCCTGTTCAAGGGCTGTTGCACGTGACCCTTTATTGTTGAGAAAAGTTTATTTGAGTTTATTCCAAGCGGCTTGGGCAGTGGTATCAATCTCTAAGATGCGAACCATCAATTCATCAGACAAGGTGCTGTATATCCATTGAAGGACAAGTGCATCGATTTAAGCTAATTGGAGGTACACGGGATCAGTGTCAACTGGTGCAGGAGTGTCATCAATGTGATCGAGAACCTTGTAAGACTTGGCGTGAAGACGAAACAACTTTGTCCAAGACGAGTACGTGACTTTTGAGCCATCCAATGTTCGGATCTTTGGATCTTTGTCCGGATGTTTGTGACAGTGTAGGCATGGTGCAAGGCTGTGGCCTTCACCTCACCTGAACCAGAAGCATCTTTTGTCATGGAAGAAGATTGAAGCAAAACCGTGGCTTCGTTCTTAAAAAAATCGTCTGTTAGGGTTTAGGTAGGCTCTGATACCATAATAACGATTACAGATCTTCAATCAATTGCCTTATCTTGCGTTAATGAATAAAGTCCTATATATAAATAGGGAATAAGATACCATCGGATATACCCACATATAGGGGGTATATATATAATAGGAAATTATATAAACGATAATTACAAGATATATAAATATCTTCCTAAGATATGATTGGCTAATAAAAAGAAGACCAGGATCAGTATTGCTCTAATACCATCATAACAAATATTTTCCTTAGATTCCTCCTTTCTCATCATACAACATTATAGGGAAAATACATTAAGGAGGCCGATTAATAGGGCCGAAAACCAAGCCTATAACACAATAAAATACAATGGTAAATATAGAGAGAAACTGCTTCAACATATTGTTCTATCAAATGGAATATGAGATATATTAGGAGTTTACATAGCTCTATTTCATATAATGAAATTACCATGACTACCAAGAGATATAATGTGTATCAAAACCGAAGTTTACGGAGAAAGTAATAGCTGACATACATACATTCTTCGACGAAAGCAAACCACCTCATACGCCAGTAAGGATTTACATAAAGGATTCCCAAAAATCCCATCAAAAGTGCAAACCATGTCCAAGCCAAACTCGCACCAAAGAAAACTATATCGACGTCATACCATTTTTCTTCATTTTCGTCGGCGGACAATGGTGGTTTCTTTAATGATGAATTTGGCTTCGCAGGCTTGCATGTCTTCTCCAACGGTAGTCCACAAAGAAATGGATTTCCTTTGTAGCTATCGGTGTTAAAGGTCCCAAATTGTCCTTTCCTTTCTGGGAGTCTCCCTGATAGATTATTGTTAGCAACAATGAAGACAGCCAGAAAATTCAACACAATCAGTTCCGATGGAACTCTACCACTCAAATGGTTTGATGAGATGTCCAAGCTCTCTATGTTTGCCAGATTCGAGAAAAGACTTGGTATCGGTCCTGTGAGTTGATTGTGAGACAAGTTTATAGCATGAATGTGACTCAAAAGTCCAAGTTCTTTTGGGATTGAACCAGTCAGATTGTTGCTAGAGAAATCCAATCCCGACAAGTAATCAAGGATTCCACCTTTGTAGGTGTCATACCTATTTTTCATAACAAACTGAACTTCATCTTGTTTTTCGTACATACCATCTTCTCCGTGTAAAGGACTTTCACGTCCCTGAAGAACACTTGCATAATGGTAAAATGAGTTCCTGCCTCTAAATGAATTTGATCTTTCTAGGAAAACAAGGTTGCCTTGGGTAGTAATATTTTGTAAGCAACTAGGTATTGAACCCGAAAGGGAATTACTAGATAGATCTATCAACCTCACGTTACTTAATTGGCACAACTGTCTAGGAATCGAACCACTAAAGTTGTTTCTCCTCAACAAAAGGATCCTTAAAATCGAGAGTTCACCTACCAAGTTTGGAATCTTGCCGGATAGCTTGTTATCACTCAGATCCAAAGTTAAAAGACTTGTCAGATTACGAAATGATTTGGGTACTGGTCCCGTGAATCTGTTAGAATTTAAATGAAGGTGCTCTATACCTCGAAAGTTTTTGCAGGATGGGACGGGTCCCGAAAAAGAATTATGTGAAATATCAAGGAAAGTGAATGGAGTTGTCCCACAAGGGAATTGACCTTCGAACATGTTGTTTCTTATCAAGAATGCATTCATCGATGGTAGTTGGCTTATCCATTCAGGAATCACGCCTGAAAACAAGTTACCACTTATATCCAACATGTTTAACTCAGTATCGCCTGCAGACTCATTTGTGAGCACCCCTGTAAACCGGTTGTTGTCTAACAACAACATCCATAGAGCAGTTACACTGAAATTTCTTGAAAGTACCTCACCATCCAGTTTGTTATTAGATAGCACTAAAACAGTCAATCTACGACAATCAGTGAGCAATCTCTTCGGTACTTCTCCAGAGAAATTATTATCAGATAAATCCAGCACTTCTATCTCACTCAGATTACCAAGTGAGAGAGGGAGATTACCCTCCAAAGAATTTCGGGACAAGTTCAGATTGGTTATATAGGGAAGGATAGTTCCTATATCAAGAGGTATAGTACCAATCAAGCGATTGTCTGACATATCCAACCACCAAGTGTTAACATTCCGATATGGTGGCATAACAACTGTACCACCAAACGAATTGTTCCTTAGGTTTATAGATTCCAACCTTGTATTATTCGCAATCAACCAATTTGGAAATGTCCCATCCAAAGAGTTGTGAGACATGTCAATTACCTGCAACTTATGCTGGTGAAGGAGAAAACTGAGATTACTTCTCGAACACCTGTTCAGATTGCAGTTAGAGAGCACAAGGACTTTTAACTGGAACGTTGGGATCCAATCTTTAACTTCTTGTGTTTCTACCTCAAACTTGTCATTGTCGCTTATGAATTCAACCACTTCAAGTTTTGTATGATTGAAGAACGAGCTCATTGAAAACAAACCCTCAAAGTTGTTATGACTGAGATCAACATACTCGAGAGATGTAAGATTAGCAATCATTGAAGATGGAATGTTTCCACTGAACTGGTTTAGAGAAAGGTCAAACAGCTTTAGTGATGATAAACTGCTGAAACATAGAGGCAGCTCTCCTTCGAACTTGTTTTGACTTAGATCTAACTCATGGAGGTTATTTAACTCACAGAAACCTGCAAAGTAATAGAAAAATAGAGATAAGGTCTCCATGCTACATCAACCTAAGTGTTCTCCAAGTCTATGTAATGGCCAAACCTACTAGAATAATTCATAAAATTTCCACTTTCTGGCTATTCCTTTATAAGCTCTGTCATTTGAAGTATTTTAAATAGTCATAAACCATGTTGTGGGTAATTACCTAGGGGTAAAGAGCCATTCAGATCATTATCAGCAAAAGATAATACTTTCACAGAAGATAATGCTTCTATAGATGAAGGGATAGACCCAACGAATTTGTTGTTGCTCAAATCTAAGACCTCCAGACGAGAAAAGGATGCCAAACCTACATTCAAGAAAAGCACTTTACCACATATATAGTTGATCTAGAAGACAAAACTGAAACCTTTTAAAATGAATAAACTATACCTTTTATTGGCAGAGTCCCATTAAAGGAATTACTTTTCAAAATTAGAACCTCCAAATCAGGAAGTTTAGGCAGGTCTGAATCAGATCAAGGTACACATCAGACTGATTTTAAATCAAGGATCACAATAGTAAAACTCACTGAAGCTTTAGGATGATAATTAATAAAATATACTGGAACTGAATCCAATTCTAGTAGCTGCAAATGTTCAGCCCTTCATTTTTATTATAGGGCAAAATGAACCAAAATGGCAACCAATAACACAAAATTTAACCATTAGGTCACTAAAGTTTTAATTGCACCCAATTGACAACCAAACTTTTTATTTTGGTTCTATCATACCATTGATAACGGTGATAGCCGGATACCAACCCACGTGGAGTCCACGTCACCGGTTGTGTCCACGTAATCAGTGGTATAATAAAACCGAAAAGAAAAGTTTGTTGGTCAATTGGATTGGATACAATTATATGAGTTTAGTGATTTAAAAAACAAATAAAATGTTATTGATTGCCATTTTATGACATTTTCATAGAAAATAAAAAAAAACTTTTAAAAACCATTTATATATCCAAAATCTTCGATTTTGTCTCAACTTATTTGTCTTAAAAATATTCAGACCATCCATATGACAATTAACATCTTTTTCAACAAGAAAATTTCATTTTCTTCTAACTTCATCCTTAAACACATATAACTATTTCTAAGACTTAACAATGAAGGTGGAAAAAAATGAAAAATTCTCGTTGAAAAAGATCTTAATTGTCTTGTGGCAAGTCTGAATATTTTTAAAACAAGTCAGTTAAGGCAAAACTGAAGATTTTGGATATATAAATGGTGTTTAAAAGTTTTTTAATATTTTCTATGAAAATGTCAAATATAAACTGGATTCCAATAACATTTTATTTGCTTTTTTACATCACTAAACTTATATAATTGTATCCATTTGACCAAAAAACTTTTCTTTTTCGGTTCTAATATACCATCGATTACGTGGACACAACCAGTGACGTGGGCGCCATCTAATGGGTAAATTTTGTGTTATAGGTCACCATATTGGATCATTTTCCCTTTTTATAGTTAAGACATCTAGATGGAGACTGGAAATAACTCAAGGAGACTACAAACCTTCATCAAAAATCATCCCATCCATGTTACTATTTGCTAAAGATAGAAGTTTAAGGGATGGAAAAGCAACCAAGGACCTCAGGACGCCTTTTCTGAGCTTGTTATTATCTAGATATAAGTGCACGAGACTCCTCATGGTACCTGAAAATATTTGAAATTTGAGAGAGTACTTGTAAACTGTGGGTCCATGAAACAACATAGTTAACAAATGAGACCATTATGAATTTCCCCCAAGTGGGCTCGCTATGCGTGACATACGCGGTTTCACCGGGGAGAAGAGAGAAAAGGAATGATTCATGGTGGTGGCCCCTTTTGACTATTTGACCAGATTTTAACCCAATTCAAATCAAATTCCAACCATTTTTTATACAATTCAAACCATTTGAAACAAAAAACTAGCCGGCATTTTTTTATAGAATTCAAATTGTCAAACTTTCTTCCAACCAGTATAAATACACACTTAAACCTTCACATTTCAACACACACAACTCTCTTTACATCTCTCATAACCTCCCTCTTCGTCGACATACGATCTTCTCGAGACCATGTTATAAGCAGCCATCACCGTATGCAACTAGATACAACAAGCTATTACCATCCAGGAAGAGGGTAGTGTGCAACATAGACAACAAAGATATATCAGAAGACTACGTGAAGACACCCACCAAAGTCTTATGCATGATTATTTTGATGAGCATGCTATCTTTGAATGATATTCTTTCCAGCGGCGGTTCCGAATGCATAAACCTTTGTTTATACATATTTTCAAAGACATTCCTAGAGTGTCAAAATATATCAGGCAAACTCCAGATCGTAAGGTACGCCTGGCTTTCATCAAATTCAAAAATGTACTGTTGTACTTCATATGTTAGCATATGACACCGCCTTGATGCACTAGACGAAAGTTTTAGGATGCCTGCACGTATTGCACGAGAAAGCCTTCACACATTTTGCAAAAGTATCTTGCATTGTACAAAGCACGCTATTTGCGTCATTGACTTGTAATGACATACAACAATTGTATTCTCATCATGCGAACATGCATGGCTTCCCCGGGATGTTAGGAAGTGTAGCTGCATGCATTGGAGATGGAATATGTATCCACATGCATATCATGTACAATACACAAAAGGTAATTATCATTACCCAACGGCCGTACTTAAGGCTGTAGCCTTACAAGATTTGTGGTTTTGCCATGCCCAATTTAGTAGACCCAATTCGATTAACGACATTAATATTCCCAATAATTAACTAATATTTAAGACTTTGCTTGATGGTAGTGCCCCTGATTCTTCATTTCTACTTTGTGGAAATGAGTTCAAATTTGGGTACTATCTTATGGACGGTATCTATCATGAGCTTTCTGCTTTAGCTAAAACTTTGTCGTGTCCGGTTGACCCACCAGATATAAGAAAACGCAAGAAAAAACAAGGAAGAATATTGAACGAGCATTTGGGGCACTTAAAAAGCATTGACAAATACTTGCTAAACCGTCAACATTTCGTGAAGTAGAAAGAGAAATTGTCAGATAAGTCCTAATATTTTTGGAAAAGTTTCACTTTAGTCCTAAATTTTAGTTTTTGAACAGAAAAGTCCCGATTATTTGATTTTATACGATAATATGTCATTTCCTGTTAAAATAAAAAGGATATTTTTTTGTTAATTTGAGCCAAAATGAAATAATCAGGATTTTCATGTTCAAAAAATAAATATGAGACTAAAGTGAAACATTTCGAAAATATTAGGACTTTTCTGACAATTTCCCAAGTAGAAACTATGACTAGTGTAATGTATACGTGTATGATATTACATAATATGATACTAGAAGATAAAGGAATGACTATATGTGACTACGATGAGAATCAAGTCATCGCCGAGATACAATCGCTAATATATGATAGTCCAGAATTTACACAAAGAATGGGGTACTTTACAATTCTATTATCTATTGTGATCTTCACCACCATTTGACCGATCATATTTGAATGACTGACAATCTTTATCTTAATATGCCACCCGAAAATGAATTAGCAGACCAGTTTTCGGACGAAAACGTGTTGCTTCAGTTACGTTTCATTGTTTTTTATGTATTAGGTCATGTTTCGAGCTTTATTGAGTCATCTTTTTATGTTTTAAGTAATTTATTAAGTCGTATTTTAAGTCTTGTATTAAGTCATGTTTTGTAATTCAAGTATTTTAATATTAAAATGTTTGAGTTTTTAATTAATAGTTGTTAGCATGCTAAACCCACCACCACTCCCTAACATCATGCAATGCTTAGGTGGCATGCAAAAAAAATGACGCGGCAGCATGTTAAGCACACCACCACTACCTCTAATCTAAGGTCATTAGCTCATTCTATTGTTCTTAGAAACCCTATCCGCTGGGGCATTCTTTCTAATCTTCGTCTTCGTCTGTACTGTGAGACATGCAATGTCCATTAGTTCATGTTAGATCAGTAGTCAATTTGAGAGATTCTATATATTTCTTACTGATCTAATGTTTATATGAGTGAGAGAATCATTTGGTAGGTTACATTTAATTGTATAGGATTAGAGTGGCTTCTTTGTCGTAAGTATCCGAATACTCTTTAATAAGATTCTTTTTCTTTATTCTTTATTCCCTTTGTTTTATGCATTTTATTACTAATAACACCATCTATTGGTATAACCAGCATTGCTGTTGTTGGATTACTTAAGTATACATTGGTACATTTTTTATGTTAAAAGTATTAGTCGATCATATCTTAGGAAGATATTTATATATCTTGTAATTATCTTTTATATAATTTCCTATTATATACCCCCATATGTGGGTATATCTGATTGTATCTTATTCCTATATATAGGGCTTTATTCATTAACAGAGGATATCAATTCATTATCTATAATCGTTGTTAAAAAGATATATTTTTCACCACATGCAGATTAGGAGTAGAATACAACTTTACCATTAAATTCTAGCGTTTCAAGATTGCTGTTGCTCAAGTCAAGCGTTTTTAACTCTTTCAAAAGTGATATTTCTGCACAAGGAGAATGAAAAGTTATAACTAGTGAAATCAGGATGAGCTTTTAGTTGTTAAGCACATATATGCAATGACGAAAACATTTCAAAGAACCATGCCTTGTGTAGGAAAGGAGTTTCCTGAAAGGGTAGACCATTGAAGATTAAGTTTTTTGAGGGATGGAAGAGCACTTAGGCATGAAATGATGCTACTATTAAAATTGATTTCAAGAGCTACACTCTCCAGCCTTTTCAATTTTGATAACTGCTTACAATCTAGAAAGGAATAAGTTCGTGAAATGAAGACAAGAGAAGAAGCTATATCTGAAATATTTGTATATTACCATGGTTATGAGAACCTGAATAATCTTTACCTTGGATAGTTGAGGTGTCATTAAAGTTATTTTTACTTAAATCCAAAACCTCCAGGTTTTTAAGATTAGCTAATTCTGCCAAGAGAAAACAAAAGAAATTAACGTGTAATTAAACTCACAAAAACAAGTTAGGCATTTTGCTCAAAACCTAACGCAAACGATTAATATAATGTTTCAAAGAACTGAAATTTGTATAATATATAAACAAAAGAATCATACCTCCTCTAAAAGAATCATAACTTGTTTTTTTTTTTTTTTAAAAAAAAAGCATGTGCAGGTGTATGCACATTTTTTTGTACATGTGCATATCACAAAAAAATATGTATGTCTCAAATATCCATTTTTTTCAAAAATATAAACTTTCACTGAATTTTTCAAAAAATAAAAAAAAACCAAACTTTTTTTGTGCATAAGCAGTATTTGCTTTATTGCTCAATTTTTTTTTTCTTTTTTGTTGAGAAACAAAAGAGTAGCTGGATAAAAGACTGAGACACGTTGATTACATTGATATCAGCTATTATGTTTGATATCAGTTTTTTATTCTTGTTCTAGACACAATATTTACTCAATTTTTTAGTCTTGTTTTCTGGGGTACAAACTGGATAAAAGATTTGGAAATGTTTATTAAATTGATATAAGCTATTAAGTTTGATGGTGATGATTTTAGCTATGCTCCAATTTTAGAAGGCCTTGATTAAGTTCTAACAGAAGAGTTGTGTTATTATATAGTGGTTATCTACAAAATACTCTACTATATTTCAAATGTGCATAGTTGTGTTATTATTTTTGGTTATCATTAAAAAGTCCTAAACTCAATACCAATGAACTATATATGTCCATATTAAATATACGTAAAGATAAAATGAAAGAATGGATACATAATAAACAAGCATGGTGTTTTGGATAAGAATTTACATATTATTAAATTGACACTTTTCTTGTTAAGCAAATAAAACTTAGGACTTTTCAATAAACTAGACCAAATTATTGACACTTTTCTAATGATAACCCTTTGATCAACTACAGAAAAGTGTGCAAAAGGAAAAGATAGAACCTTTAGCTGGAAACGATCCATAAAAATTGTTGGCCAAAAGTACTAGCACCTTAAGCGATGGAAAGGCTCTCAAAGTGGGTAAGATGCTTTGATTAAAACTATTACACCCAAGATTCAAAATTTTCAACTTCCTCAATCGGGAAAGACTCTCCAAACCTGCATTGAAGTTTTCTATGAGTTCTCTTTTGTTGCAAACCTGGTATAGATAAGGAGTATATTTCCTTTTTAATGAACATAGTAAAAATCATTTTTATGATAAGAGAAAGCGTTTGACACCGATCAGTTTGGAGTTTGGACTTATAAACCATCTTTATTTCTTACACTCCTATGCATGTAAGACTAACATAAAGTAATAAAAGACTATATTTCTTAAAGGGGATAATTATTGCTGAAAACTTGGTGATTATCTTGATATATGAAAACAACAGTCATGATGACTAATTGACTAGATAATTTGTTTGCTAATTAAATGATAATCTGCCACTTTTCTTTTTGATCAATGAGTACCTAGTGATCCCATTCAATCTAGTTTATCCTTCCAACCAAAAACAGACAGAAATAAACCTGTTTGTATGAACGAAGGGCTGTGTGTCCATAGCTTCAACCCTTTGGTGTTGGAAGATTGGATATTAAAATTTTACAGGGTTGATATTTTAAATCCACTCCTCAATTTTCATGCTTCTTTCAAAGTGACGCCTCACAAGTCACATCAATAATATAATGACATTGTTTACCTTGCATTTCGAAAGTGCCTCCACCGTAGGTGAGATCCAACATCTCCAAGTTTTCCAAAGCTGCTAATTCTGCAGGATTACAGAAAAAATATCTTTTGAACCATTAAGTACTCCGATGTCAACAACCAATCATTATCCAAATTTAGTTTGGGCTAGAAGATATAAACCATATATATATATATATATATATATATATATATATATATATATATATATATATATATATAGAGAGAGAGAGAGAGAGAGAGAGAGAGAGAACCATGAACAGGGAAGTTAGATCCTTCCATGGAATTGTCACTAAGATCGATAAATCTCAGTGATGTGATTGTACCCAATGGACGAAAGATGGTGATGTTTTCAATATTATTGCCGGCCAGGTTCAGCATCTCCAGCTTCTTCAAACTAGACAACTTTCCTAGTCCTGAAAGAAAATATATATTAGACAAAATTTCACAGATGTCTATTCACATATTGAGTGATCATATATGATTATGATAGTTAGTGGTAGAAGAGTTGGTGGTGATAGAGGTGGCGGTGATATAACTGGCGGAGGTGAGAGTGGTGGGGTTGGCTTGTGTTAGAGGTGATGGTGGTGGGGATGGTGGCGGAGGAGAAAGGAACGGACGTCACTATGTAATCATTTATGATTATAACAGCCATGTCGCACGCAAAGGGTTAGAATGACAGATGTAAAATATATGACTGAGATTCAATCTAAAGATTTCTATTTTATTTTTAATCTCAACGGAACGTGTGTGTGTGTGTGTGTGTGTGTGTGTATATATATATATATATACTAGTTTATAACCCGTAGGAACCACGGTTACAAAATTAATTAAATTTTTATAGTAAAAACTTAAAATTATTAATTAATTATTTTAAATAAATTATTAATTAAGAGTTTTTTAGTTATATAAATTTTAATCATTGATTTAAATAAATATGTGAAATTATATCATTTGTATTATTTTTATTTTAATTTTTATTCTAATGTTATTAATTTAATGTAATTAAAGTGGAAGTTTTAAAATTTGAAATTTAAAATAAAGTTGACAAGTGGCATACATTAATTAGGAGATATAATAAGACGACACATGACAAAATGAAAATAAAATATCAATTAGGAGGCCTAATAATATGACACATGTCAAAAAGAGAATAAAACTATTCTTTTATTAGAATAGGAATATATATATATATATATATATATATATATATATATATATATATATATATATATATATATATATATATATATATATATATATATATATATATATATGAGTGGAAGACTTACATAGTCAAAGTAAGTCTTAAAAGTCTAGTCAAGTCAAGTCAAATGGGACGTATTTTCCTTATTATTACATATTATACATGGCCACGAATTTTGATTATCGTTTATCTAGATATTAACAAAAAGACAATTGTATATCGGTAAGATGTGATCGAGGCCGAACGGGTGTAAAGCCACAACGAACCAACAAACCAGAGAAAAGGGATTTAAAAAGGATCGGACCAAAAAAAAAAAACCAGTTGAAAAGTTGAAAAAAAAAAAAGACAGAAACAACACGTTGAAGTTAAATGTTTGATATAGCGGGTGTACATAAGTTGGACTGATTAGAATAAAATCAATATGTGACTAGGTTTTTTTTATAGCTTTAAAGTTTGCTTGAGCTACTTCAATTAATAAAATCTTTAATTGTTTAAAGATAACATATTAAATTGTATTAATTGTTTTAAAAAAAATTGTATTTGGTGTTTTAAGTATTTTGTGATTTGTTTACAATTTTGGTTCTAAAAATGTTTCTTTAGTAATTATATATTTTTGGGATAAAAAAATAAAATCAACTAGACTCGATAAATAGATATTGTACTTGGAAAATTGACAAAAACCTCAAATATTATTAAATAAATGAACTATGTGAGACCAATCGACCAAACTTGCAAAAATTATCTAAAACTAAGAACCAAAAATATAATTTATTGAAATAAATAAACAAAACAAATAAATAAATAAATAATAATAAAGAGATATATGATTGTTTTTTTGGTTAGAATTACCATATTCAAAATTGGGTAAAAAATGAAATGGTACCTGTCTTCTCAATGCCATTATCCAGAAGATCATACGCCAAATTAAGGTTCGTGAGCTCCTGGAAATGAAGAAACAAAGAGATATTAAGCTCCCAATTCTTCTGGCTGAAATCTTCGTACACTATCTCAAACAAATGATCCAACGTCAGATCCGTTATTCGCCCGGTGGTACTGTTGCACGTCACCCTCTCCCAGTGACAACATTCGCGGCCACCATGATCAGTCCATGTCGGAAGAAGACCATCTGCATCAGCACCGTGTGATTTTACTGAAGCTTTGATTTCCAGCAGCGCCGCTCTCTCTTCTTCTATGCAAGCACCGTGTATTTGTGTAATCATGAGAATCAGTAGAAGTAATATCTTTAGGTAACCGATGGTAGACCGGTTCTTCATTATGGGATTGCGACTATCTAGACAAACTGTGCGGTGGTTTTGTAGATAAAAGGGGTATATATATACACCGGCAAAGCAAACATTTTCATTTTCTTTCTATTTATTATTAGGCAAATTGAATAATCTAACAATTATAAACCAAGCAATGGAAAAAATAAACACTTTTTTTTTTTTTTTAAATGACTATCCTATTTAAAAACGGCATTTCTTACCTGAGTTAAATAAAAAAAAATATATATCAAAATGTAAACATTAGGTTTAGTTTAAAGTTAATTTTTAAAATACGGAAAAAAACATATTTATTACATTTAATACTTTACTTATATAAGTATATGTATTATATGACTTTTTAATTTTAAAAATTAAAAAAACTTAGAAATTGACATGCAAATACTATTTATTTCAAAAATATCACAAAATAACAAATATCAAAATTTACGAGAAAGTGACATATAACAAAATCAGTTTTCATTTATTAGAGTAGATTGTCATTTTAAAGTTGGTGGTGGTTGGTAGAATCTAACATCGAACATTTTAAATTGAAAAAATATATTTTGGAGTACTTGCTTTGAATGTACAGACATTTCGAAGTTATGTTCTGTTTAATATAAGGGTATTTCTATTGTTATTTTTGCTGTATAATCCAATAAAGCTTTTTTATACTAAAAAAATGAGTTTGTATAAAGAATTTTTTAGAGTGCATGTTTCCCATGATAGAAATCTCATATCTTAATAAAAGAAACCTTTTGATGCATGTCACTCTCACAATTCATTTTCAATTCATTGTTAAATTACTTCAATACCCTTGATTATTTTAAATTTGGTATTCCTTAATTGCATATCCTACTATCTTAAATTAAATTTCACAAATTTGATTTTTTTAATTTTAATTTGAATTTACGTTTAGAAAGGTTGGAATATGATAAGTTTTAGATGCAATTCAAAATCAACAATACCATCAACACGTTTAAAATGCTTAAAATTCGAAATTATTATAGAAATTTGTTAAATAAAATCCCATGATATCAGAACCATTTCTGTGAATATCATTATAATCTTATAGTTTAGAGTTTTGACCGACCATTTATACAAATTTGTAACTAATAGGGGATAATACAAAAAACATGATTTGTAATACTTTGATTTATTTTAAGCAACGTTATAGAGATGACATTTTACTCTCAATTTGATATTACTATCTTTGATTTATTTTAAATAACATTATGGAGATGATTTTTTACAAATAATAGCATTCTACTTTGATTTATTTTTAAAAAACATTATGTTATAAACAAGTGATAATGTTTACTTTCAATTTGATATTACTACCACCATAACTTCACCACCATTAGATGTTCAAATAACAATTTGATAATTTGAAATTTTTGATAACAACGCATGAGCTAAAAAAAATTGATAATTTGAAACAAGACATAATATGGAAATAAAAAAACAACATTATTTTCCAACACTAAATATCTGAAACAATGTATAATCTAATTAAAAAAAATCTGAAACAACGCATATTTTGAAAAATCTGAAACAAGAATAAAGTTACAATAAAGTTCCAACACCAAACACTTTCAATCCTGATTTTTGTTTAAGGTTTAACCAAATCTTAGTTTCAGATTAGGTCTAAGTTATTTAGCAATAAAGTAGGAATGAGTTGAACAAATTGAATCACCTGGTGTAAGTAGAGTGAGAGTAAACCAAAGAAGTTAAAAAAATCTTATAAATAATTTAAATGTTTCATAAATATATTACCCGTGGTTCCCACGGGTTGTAACCTATTTGGAAATAAATAATGGGATCTATGCAGTATATTGCTCCAAACTATACATGTTTTGGTGTATGTAACGCCCGCAAATCCGGGCTAGTCAATTAGAGGCAATAGGGGTCGAAAACGACTTTTCGACAAAAGATTATTTAGAACAAATAATCTTAACCAAGTTGTAGAATATGTCACAAGGTTTCCACACATATAAAGAACGCCGAAATCCGAGTTAACGAAGAAGTTATGACCCGTTGAAGTTTCGCGACGGAACCGACACGATACCGGGAAGCGTAAATAGTGAATTTACGATAGAGCGAGATTTAGCCTTAGCGATCTAAACAAAAGTCATAGAATATGTTAAACTAAGAACATCGATAAAAAGAACGCCCAAATCTGACTTCGTATGAAGAAGTTATGATTTTTCAAAGTTTCGGACTAGCAGTGTACAGCCCGAAATTCAAATATTAGATCGAACGGTTTTTAGCCAACACAACCTAAACGAGAATCGAAGATCTCATTAAGATCAGTGTAACGAGAAAAAGATGGGTGAAAACGGACGTCGGATGAAGAAGTTATGAGGATTTAACGGACCAACCTTGTCCCGGTCTGTTAAAAATATAAAATTTAAAATCGAGTCAAAATTAGCCGACAAAGTCTAAACGAAAGTTGTAGAGTATGTTCCCACCTTCGCGTGGATATACAGAACATCGAAAACGGAGCTCGTATGCGAAAGTTACGAATTTTTAAAGTTGAAGCATGAAATTGCGAAGTTTGTTGCAAATCCGATGACGTGGCTTAATCCAGACCGTCGCTTGCTGAACACAGAGTCGCTTCGGATGACGACACGTCGCCCTCGCTTACCCCCCGCGTCCGAAGTCTGTACGCCCTGCGTACCCCGCCTTACCTCTTCCGGTGTTGCGAGCCAGCTGGTGCGAAGCTGGCACCCTTATCCGAGCATTACGCCCAGCGTAACCTCGGTACGCCCAGCGTAACCGAAGCTGTTGGCGCCTATAAAAAGGGTCCGAACTCCTCCGAATTTCACACACCAATTCTCATTCTCTCTCTAGTTTCTTTCTCTCTCTAAGGTTCCAAACCATCCCTAAAGTCTAGGTGAACCCCTAGCACCCTAAGGAAGCCTCGAGGCTCCCGGAGTCCCGAGAAAAAGGAGTCTTTCGGTTTCGAAACGCTGCTGCAATTAAGTCCCAGTTTTCGATAAAATTCGCTGTAAGTGTGCTACGCTTACGCAGTTTTTAATATAGCTTTCGAATAATTATAGGAATGTTATTAGGTCCTTAAAATAATTATTTGGGCTATTATTATGAGTTATATTTAGTGTTATTAACGCTTATATAATAATAATAATAATAATAATAATAATAATAATAATAATAATAATAATAATAATAATAATAATAATAATAGTCAGACTAATTAATTTGCCGCGGTTATCGTTAGACTAAACCCTAGTGGTATTGGTACTAGGTGTTATCGAAGGAAATTGTTTTGAGAGTATCGAAGCGCTGTCCGAGTGCTGAGTCACCACCTTTCAGGTGAGTGCATGGTCCCTTTCATCTTACACATAGATATGAAGTATTTTATTATAAATTACGTGCTATATGCGCATATTGTCTGAATAGTTGTTGTCTATGCTGATGAAAGATTTTATACATATTTTAAATGATTTAAACTGTATATGTATTTTATATCTACAAAATGTGTTTGGGTAAAACATGGGTAGATGTAATAGTTGATGTGTGACAAAATAAAATAATGAGAGGACTCGTTGTAGCTGTTCTTGATGATCTAGTCATCTAGCGGAGTAAAGATGACGACCACGGACTATTCTAGACAGTTCAGTGGAACACTAGCAGGCTCGCAACCTGTAGGTGTTTATTCGAACTGTATGTTTATTTGAACTGTGTGTTTATTCGAACTGTGTGTTCATTCGAACTGTGTGAACTGTGTGCTCACCAGGTACACTCCATCCCAATGATAGTCCTTTGACTAAGTCCCTTGTGTTAGATGTTTTAGGGACGTAATGTGAAGATAACGGGAATGGGTAATTGGGTTGATTGTTTGATGTTTAAAAATAATAACTATATTATTGTGGGTTGAAAACCCTATGTGCTTACCAGGTTTCCCAACCTGACCCACTCAGTTTATTTATATCACAGGTGTTGATATGAAGTGACATTACACTGAGAGATTTAAAGAGATGTAGATCACTAGTGTAAATAATTGTAAGTTCTGTTTATGCTTATGTTTCTGTATTAACGATGACATCCCAAAAGTTTTAAAATGAAATAAATACGTTTCTTCGAAAATTTTTTAACAACGTATTTACCATGTTTTTCTGGGAACAAATTCCGCAACATTTTTATAAAATGAAGTACTCTGATTTTTATAAAGCATAAACAAAATCGGTCTTTTCTGGCCGTGATTTTGGGGATGTCACAGTGTAGATATAGGCAGTAATATCAACTTTTGTGGGTTAATTACGTTAGTTGCTTCGAAGTCCAGATTACACACTAATCAAATATGTTTATTTTTTCTGTATCCTAGATCAAATATAGTTATGCAGATTTTTGACGATAATTGTCAAATATTTTCTTAGTTTTGTTAGTAATATGTCTCCTAACATAATACAATTGTTTGTTGTTAATCATGTCATGGAAAATGGTGTTATCTATTTCCAAGGGAAAACTGTTCCGGTGGCAGTGGTTCTTTCCATGCTAGAAATAATCAAATTTGTAATTTATTACCTATAACATTAAATCATGTTCCTTCTTACAATGGGCCTGTAAAAGGGGGTGGATTTAGGTATAAAGGTAAGGTTGTTGTTGATGTTGGTCCAACAATCGATGTTGATTAATCTGTAAATGTAAATTATCAGGAAAAAACTAATGGCATTAGTTGATGATGGTAATATAATTCCACATGGAGACCTAGTGAAACAAGTTTAGAGCTTCACTAAATTTGCTAGGGAGGAGACTGAATCTGAAAATGAGAAAACTAATCCCCGACAAGTACGAAAGGCCCGATAGGATAAGTGTTCTTATTGTTTTTCATATTCTGGATAAACAAAAACCACTCATTGGAGGATGCTTGATCCCTTACCATTGCCTGAGTTATCATCAAAAATGTAAAATTATAGTAGTTAACAATCATTATTTGTATGTGAAGTTGTTTCAGTTGTTCAAAAGCAAAGAAGACCTTAAGCTTAATTTGGTATTCAAATGTGTTACTAAGGGCTTTCAAATGAGAGTGGGCAAATCGACAAAAGACTGATTTAAAGTTGTTTCTTTGCAAAATAT